CCTGGATGACTGGATGACCAACCTCTCTCGTATCCTTATTTTTCCCTTATAAAAGATAGGTTGTATCGGGTGACCCAAGATACCCAGACAAAAAGAAATACAACCCAGTTATTAGTCCCAAAAAGCCGTCGGGAAATGCTTTTCCAGGCAGCTCATAATAGTCCCATGGCAGGCCCCTTGGGGGAGGCAAAAACACGTGAACGACTCATGGCCCGATTCTTTTGGCCGGGCATTCACGAGAACATCCGCCGGTGGTGTGCGGGGTGTCATGAATGTCAGCTGGTAAATCCTCTGGCCAGTTCTAAAGCGCCATTGCGTCCATTATTTTTTACAGTGCACTGATAGAGGTCCCCTTCGAGAGAATTGGTATGGACCTCATCGGGCCATTAGAACGTTCAGCACGTGGACATCGTTTTGCATTAGTTCTGGTGGATTATGCAACACAATACCCGGAAGCAGTGCCGCTGCACACCATCTCTGCAAAGAGTGTGGCAGACGCACTGTTTCGAGTCATCTCCCGAGTGGGGATCCCCAAAGAGATTCTCACTGATCAGGGCACGGCGTTTATGTCACGTACGTTAAGCGAACTATACGAACTTCTGGGCATTAAATCGATTCGCACCAGTGTCTATCACCCACAAACGGACGGCTTGGTGGAACGATTTAATCGCACGTTAAAATCCATGGTTCGTAAGTTTGTTAAGGAGGACGCCAAAAATTGGGATAAATGGTTCGAGCCCCTGTTGTTCGCTGTGCGGGAGGTTCCACAAGCCTCCATGGGGTTTTCCCCATTCGAGCTTCTCTATGGTAGTCAGCCCCGCAGGGTGCTTGACGTCATTAGAGAGGCTTGGGAGGAGGGGCCTTCAAACAGCCGTAGTGAAATTCAGTATGTCATGGACCTCCAAGCAAAACTCCACACTCTGGGGCGGCTTTCTATGGAGAATTTGCTTCAGGCTCAGGACCGACAAAGTCGGCTGTACAACAGGGGTACGCGAGCGCGTCAATTTACACCGGGAGAGAAAGTGCTTGTATTACTGCCAACATCTAGTTCTAAATTACTTGCCAAGTGGCAAGGACCTTTTGTGGTTACACGGCGAGTGGGGGATCTTGATTATGAGGTAAAGCGAACGGACCGAGGTAATTCATGTCAAATATATCATCTCAATCTTTTAAAACGTTGGAATGAGGTGACCTCGGTGGAGTTAGCGGTGGCCGTTTTGGCAGAGGAAGATCTCGGACCAGAAGCAGCTGTCAAAACCAATCCGCTCGCTCTGGTCCCCGGGGGAGATCACCTCTCGCCGCTGCAGCTCACCGAGCTAGCCAAGTTGCAAGCGGATTTTGCTGATGTGTTTTCACCCCTGCCCGGTCGCACGAACCTCATACAGCACCACATCGAAACGATCCCCGGGGAAGTGGCGCGCAGCCGCCCCTATCGTTTCCCGGAGCACAAGAAAAAAGTGGTACAGGATGAATTAACGGCCATCCTAGGGTTGGGAGTAATAGAAGAATCGCATAGCGACTGGGCGAGCCCGATTGTTTTAGTGCCTAGAATGGACGGCTCCGTCCGGTTCTGTGTTGATTACAGAAAGGTGAATGCAGTGTCGAAATTCGACGCTTATCCAATGCCCCGAGTTGACGAGCTGCTTGATCGGTTAGGTTCGGCTCGCTTTTATTCGACACTGGATTTAACGAAAGGGTATTGGCAGATCCCCTTGTCGCCATTATCCAAGAAAAAAACAGCCTTCACAACGCCGTTCGGGTTACACCAATTTGTTACTCTTCCGTTCGGGTTGTTCGGGGCTCCCGCCACCTTTCAGCGTCTCATGGACAAGATTCTCCGGCCACATAGCGCGTACGCCGCTGCCTATCTCGACGACATCATTATACACAGTAATGATTGGCAGCGGCATATGGAACATCTGCGCGCGGTCCTGAAGGCCCTGAGGGTGGCTGGACTCACGGCGAACCCGCGGAAGTGTGCAATTGGGCGGTGGAGGTACGGTATCTGGGCTTCCACTTGGGTCATGGGCAGGTGCGTCCCCAAATCGACAAGACGGCGGCGATTGCGGCCTGCCCAAGACCCAAGACCAAAAAGGAGGTGAGACAGGTGCAGGATGAATTAACGGCCATGCTAGGGTTGGGAGTAATAGAAGAATCGCATAGCGACTGGGCGAGCCCGATTGTTTTAGTGCCTAGAATGGACGGCTCCGTCCGGTTCTGTGTTGATTACAGAAAGGTGAATGCAGTGTCGAAATTTGACGCTTATCCAATGCCCCGAGTTGACGAGCTGCTTGATCGGTTAGGTTCGGCTCGCTTTTATTCGACACTGGATTTAACGAAAGGGTATTGGCAGATCCCCTTGTCGCCATTATCCAAGAAAAAAACAGCCTTCACAACGCCGTTCGGGTTACACCAATTTGTTACTCTTCCGTTCGGGTTGTTCGGGGCTCCCGCCACCTTTCAGCGTCTCATGGACAAGATTCTCCGGCCACATAGCGCGTACGCCGCTGCCTATCTCGACGACATCATTATACACAGTAATGATTGGCAGCGGCATATGGAACATCTGCGCGCTGTCCTGAGATCCCTGAGGGTGGCTGGACTCACGGCGAACCCGCGGAAGTGTGCAATTGGGCGTGTGGAGGTACAGTATCTGGGCTTCCATTTGGGTCATGGGCAGGTGCGTCCCCAAATTGACAAGACGGCTGATATTGCGGCTTGCCCAAGTCCCAAGACCAAAAGGGAGGTGAGACAGTTCCTGGGGCTGGCGGGATATTATAGAAGGGGGGCGTGGGAAGGCGAAAGGCTGCAGCGGGAGAAAGGGTTTGGAGACGAGCGGTGATAAGGAGAACAAGCGAATAATGATTAACCCCTGTCTGTAATTCCAGTGATTGGGGGAGAGACGAGAGATAAGCGCCCCGCAGACCTGGGAGAGGAGGCCAGCTGCATCCGAGAGAGAGTCGGAGCAGAGTGCGTGGGTGTGTGTGCAAGACTGTGGAGGCAGAGAGCCGAGCAGCACTTTTTTTTTGTTCTGTTTTGTTTTGGGGGGAGTAAATAAAGAGGTTTACCTGCCACCCCTGACTTCCTCGTCCTTCATCTCAAACGAACTGTATTACAGAGTCGTTCGTTGTAGTTTTTGAAAAGTGATTTCTGTTAAATAAAATATCTCCTTTTGAAGTGGACTTTGAGCTTTGTAACTTTACAGATCTTTTTTATGCTATAACAGCAACATTACAGACTAACTAAAGTTGAAAAAGTGAAAAAGCATAATAGGACCCCTTTAAATTAATGAAAGAATTATGAGTTTCACTTTGTAGTGTATTGTTTAGATTTAATAACTTGAAAAGTAAAGTAAACTTGAAAGTAACTTAGTAGTTAGTAACTAAGTAATCTTGAAAGTAATTAGTAATCTGATTACTTTTTAAATGCAGTAATCAGTAATGTAATCAAATTACAATTTTAAAGAAGTAATTAGTAATTTGTAGTGGATTACTTTTTTGAGTAACTTACCCAAAACCGATGCTTACTGAATAAAAGTATTCATTTCTTTTAACAACAACAAAAAAATCTTACTGACACCAAACTTTTGAAGGGTGGTGTGGCTACTGTTCAAAATAAAGATTGCAGTTGTCAGTCTGAGAAAAACTTCACAGATTTACTAAAAATCATTGCCACACCAGTTGATTAAAGCTCATAGCAAAAAACTGCTCAGAAAAATGAAAGCAACATTTGTACAGTATTTCAGCACAAAAGACACGTGATATTTTGTTATATAATGCCATAACAAACAAGCATTCTTAAAAGTGTCCAAAGTGTATTGGGTCACTGTTGTTGTTGTACTGTAATCCAGTGTAAATAGTACTACAAGCTAAATGTTGTGGCATTCAGATGAAAAAAATTGCAAAACATCTTACCTTGGCCAAGTGTGAATTAATCCACTTTGTGAAAGTTCTTTTCTGCACCGCCTCTTGTTCATCTGCAAAAGACAGAAACACAATAAGTGAGCAGATATGATTTACTCTTCAATATCCAGTGAGATATTACGCTTTCTTCTTCATTCTACTCACAGTCATCATGACTAGCCTGGCTATTTTCTTATATTTGTGAGGATTACTACTGAATACTGTACATTTTCATTACTGTAAGTCTACAGAGCTAGAGAGGAAATATTCACCAGCACAGGAGAGCTGAGAGTCCACACGTGGCATTAGCAAAAACATCAGAAACATGTGCCAATATTCCCATTTTTACATATACTCAGCATAAATAACGTAAATGCAGATTTTACACAGAAGCACACAGATATGCTCATCATTTTCATGTATGTGCAAACCACAAGCTCTCAAGGAGATTATTTAACTAAGAAAATGCAAGAAATGCAAAAGTCACAGGGTGGTTGTTAAAGCATTGCTATGCAGTTAGGACGTTCTGAGCGGTTGCCAGGCTGTCACTATGGATTTGCGTTGCTATGCCATAGCTAGCATGTTTTGAGCAGTTGCCATACTGTTACTTTGGATTTATAAAGATTTGTGTTGCTATGCAGCTATAAAGATGTTCTGAGTGGTTGTTTAGATGTGCTGGGTGGTTACCAGGGTGTTGCTATGCAGGATGTTCTATGTTGTTGCCATGGCAGAGCAAAAAGTGTTCTGGTGGTTGTCAGGGTGTTATATGCTAACATAAAGATATTCTAAATAGTTGTCATGGCACTGCTATGCTAGAATGTACTATGTGGTTGCCAGGGTGTTGCCATGTGGTTCCTAGTGTGTTCTAGGTGGTTGCCAGGATGTTGCTAAGCAGTTGCAATGGAATTCTGTGTGGTTGCTAGGCCTTTGCTATGCAGCCATAAAGATGTTCTGAGTGGTTGTTATGGCATTGCTATGGAGTTGTTAGGATGTTCTATGTGGTTGCCAGGGTGTTACTATGCGGTTTCTAGGATGTTCTGTGTTGTTGTCAAGGCATTGCAAAGGTATTTTGAGTGGATGCCAGGCCGTTCCTTTGCAGTTGCAAAGGTACTCTATATGGTTGCCAGGAATTTTCTATGCAGCCATAAAGATATTCTAAGTGGTTGCTAGGATGTTGTTATGTGGTTGCTAGAATATTCTGTGTGGTTGCAAGGGCAGTGCAAAGTCGCTGCAAAGGTGTTGGAGTGGTTGCCAGGGTGTTGCCATGCAGTTGCAAAAGTGTTCTAAGTGGTTGCCAGGGTGTTGCCATGCAGCCATAAATATGTTCTGAGTGGTTGTCACGGCATTGCTATGAAGATGCTAGATGTTCTGTGTGGATTCCAGGGATTTGCCGTGTAGTTATTAGTGTGTTCTGAATGGCTGCCAGGGTGTTGCTATGTGGTTGCAAAGTTGTTCTAAGTGGTTGCCAGGCCATTGCTACACAGTTCTAAAGATGTTCTGAGTGGTTCCTATGGTGTTGTGGGTGCTGCTAGGTGGCGTCAACCCCAAGTTTCTATAATATTCTACTGATTTTTTAATTGTTTGTAAGGTGAAAAAAGTTTAATACTGAAACTATTTAGTACTGTTCAAATCACCAATCCTAAGTATGAGCAATAGTACTAGAGATGCTTGACTTCACAAACA